TATATATACTACCAGGCTCCTCTCCTGTAGAACCAACTCCCACTCTGGGTTCGGGAGGCAGACACCATCTCAGCATTTAAAGTTAAACTTAAAACGTTCCTTTTTGATAAAGCCTATAGTTAGTTCTGGATCAGGTGAGTCCTGAACCATCCCTTAGTTATGCTGCTATAGGTCTAGACTGCTGGGGGAACTCCCATCATCCACTGAGCACCTCTCCACTTCTCTCTGTCTCTCAGCCCCCCCGCATTTATTCATTTATTTATTTAAATACATGTCAATGACTATTTCACTTTGTAATCCCATAGTCTCTCTCTCTCTTTTTCTCTCTCATTTCAGATATCTCTGTCCCCGGAACCTCAGGACAACAACTTCTCCTATTACTGTCATAGTCAGTCACCTATCCTCCCACTTCTCAGTCAGTCTCCCATCCTTCCACCTCTCAGTACTTTTCCATGGACTCTGCCTCTGCTTCATCTGCCAGTCAAGCCACACCCTCTCACCAATCCAACCCAGCTGCTCCTCATCACCTGCAATCAGCTCAGTATATATTCACCAGCTCCACTCTCAGTCAGTGCCAGATTGTTCTACGCCTTCATGCAAGACTTTCCAGCAGTTATCTCCGGACTGATTCTTCGTTGCCAACCCTGCCTGTTCCTGACTAACCTGCCTCGTCCGAAACCTGGTAATCACCTCTGCCTTCTGTCCCTGACCAAGTCTTCTGCCTGTTGCTGTCTGACCAAGTCTTCTGCTCGTTGCTATCTGACCAAGTCTTCTGCCTGTTGCTGTCTGACCAAGTCGTCGGCCTGTTGCTGTCTGTATTGCCTGCCACCTGATCTGCTAAGAGCTGAGAATAAAGACTGTTACCAACTGTCCATGCTTGTTGTGCTGCATTTGGGTTCAAAACCATACCCGTTACAATTACTAATTACAATATCACAGTAATTCATTATGATATCAAATGTGTCTGTTATCCATAATAATTAATAGTCTTTACACTGTTGTTCACTTTTTAACTAATCAGATCTTATACCTGATGGCGCTCAAGTGTCCCCGGTCTTCTCTCCCCTACTTCCCCCTCCCCACTATCCCTCTCTCTTCTCTCCCCTCTTTTCCATCCATCTCTCATCTCCTTCCCCCGTTTTCTTTGCTAACCGGTTGAGGCAGATGACCGCCCACATTGAGCCTGGTTCTGCTAGAGGTTTCTCCCTGTTAATGAGGGAGTTTTTCCTCTCCACAGTCGCCAAAGTGCTTGCTCATTGTGGGAACTGTTGGGTTTCTCTATATTTTGATTTTAAGGTCCTGACCTATGTAAAGTGCCTTGACATAATGTATATTATGATTTGGCTCTATACAAATAAAATTGAATTGAATTGAATATATATATGCATACTAAATCAAGATAAAATGAAAATATTAATTAATCTTCAGTTCAGCTGATCATTCCAGCCATCCACTTCAATATTGTTTTTCTCAAGAAAATTACAGAAAACCTTCCAGATTCCTATTTTTCGAGGTGTAGCTTATCTTTTCTAAAGCCAGGTAGGAAGACATCCCTGTTAACCACTGCGAAGTAGAACAGGGTTTATCCCTTTTCCATGAACAGGTTATACATCTTTTAGCTTCCAGAAAACAAATATTGAGTAAGGATTTTTCGTTTTTGGAGGTCACAAAGTCGTCCGGGTAGATATTCAATAAACAAAGCTTTGGTTTGAGAGGTACTTCTTTATCAATGATTTGACTGGCCAGGTTCAACACTTTTTTTTCTTTTTTCAAAAAGAGAGTATCAGAGGGCATTCCCACATGCAATGGAATAAAGAACCTCTTTGTTGCTTACATTTTATGCAATTATCTGGGATATTTGGGTTAAAGAGGTGCAGCTTACTTGGGGTTATATACTGTCTGCTTATCCATTTGTATTGTAGTAATTTACAGTTTGAGTTTGAGCTGTAAAACAAGCTCTGG